CGAACATCTGGGCCCTAGAGACACCACACCCGGAGGATATTAGCAGGAGAGGGAGGTGCTGGACGCATGTTTCCTCCTTGGCCGCATCCCAGCCTAAGCCAGCCATCCCCAGACGGCCTCCATCTGTGCTGGCCCACAGAGGTGAGAGTGGGTGAGCACTTGGGGCCTAGGCCCATTAATCTCACTGCAGCCCTGATGCCCGAGCACATTTATGACCCAGTCAGTTCTTGGCCTCGTCTCCTTGCAGTCTCTGCTTTTTTTTAACTTTCAGCTTCCATATTTTCTGGTGACAAACTAGGTCATATCCATGGCAAAGGGGATTCTACCATCATATCATGCCATCATTATTAAATAAATACATACTGACCTTAGGTTGCTGATTCATTCTTAATTTGAAGAGAAGGGTCAAGACCAGAAGTGCAGATGGTCAAGCCCCCCACCCCCAGATTCCCCAGTCACATCCCTCATGCCTCAAGGGCACCGTGTGACTGCTTCCGGTCGATGGGTGGTGAAGTGAGGCAGCATGAGGCACTTCCGGGCAGAAGTAGTTAAGAGCTGGCATGAGACGTTCCCACTCTCTTTTACAGAATGTAGGGGCCACATGGTGAAGTGGAGAGCAGTATGGGAAGCTCCCTGGATGGCAGAGTCACTGAATGGACGACTTTTAAAACAGACTGATAGAAAATTTGAGGTACGGAAAGGTCAGCAGATCAGGAGATGCCTGCCCTCGGAAAGATCGTTTGTTATAGTTCCCAAGAGGAGGGGGCACGTGATGCCAGGCAGGGACACACGGGGAGACCCCAAGGCGGCTGGAGGCAGAGGGAGGGAGGGTCAGTGTGGACCAGAGACCTCACTGAGGATTCTGCGGAGGGAGTGGACAAGGTGGGGTGGGCAGCTGAGGACTGGCTGGTCTGCATCGTTCCCGCAGGCTCCAGGGCACAGTGCCCGTCCCCGGTTGTGTGGAACCTGCCCAGGGTGGAGTGGGCAGGTGGACGGTGGCCCAGAGGGTGGGAGCCAGTGGAGGAGGGGGAGGGTGGTGGATGGGCTCTGGGTTAGTTGGTTTGCATTGGAAAGGTGTGCTCACAGGTGAGTTGTTTACTGTCTCTAGGAACTAGCTAATCTTGGGAGGGGCAGTCCCCCCCAGATGTGACAGTGTCAGACCAGTAAACAAGGGACATGGTTAATACAAAGACAACTCATGCTGGGTTTTGTGGGAGGGAATTAACCCGGGTTATGTTGAGACCTGGAGATCTGGGGGTGATGTACCATATTAGGTTAGTGCGCTGTCGTAGGAACAGGAGAAGCACAGGAACTTGGGTGTGGAGCTGAGTCTCACACCGCTGCGACATCTAAAATGTTGGTTCACTCACTCACTGCACATTCACTGGTCACTGCACATCAGCTGCGTGTCAGGCCCAGTGCTGGGTCTGGACTCACAAAGGTCAAACTCTAGCCCTGCTCTCAATGGAACTCTCAGTCTTAAGAGTAAGTAAGATGCATCGAACGGTAGGGTGAAGATGGCCAGGATAGAGGCTGGGCAGACCCAGACAGAGGATGGGTCCACAGTGATGACTCAGGAAGTGAATCCTCCTCAGGTGGAGGAATCAGGGAGGGCTTCTCAGAGGAAGCAATGTTTGAGTTGGGTCTTGATGGAGTTACCTAAGAGTTTCCCTGTGGAGACAGTGGGCATGGATGCTCTAGGCAGTCTAGGAAAAGCAGATAAAGGCGTATCCAGGCTTTGCAAAGGGTTCAGTGGGGCAAAAATAACTACTTTAAAAATGGGCAAAGAAACTGAATATTTTTCCAAAGACCTACAAATGGCCAAGAGGTATATGAAAAGATGCTCAAGAGGTATATGAAAAGATGCTCAACATCACTAATCGTTAGGGAAATGCAAATCAAAACCACAGCGAGATATCACCTCACACCTGTTAGGATGACTATTATCATGAAGACAAGAAGTGACAGGTGTTGGCAAGGATGTGGAGAAAAGGGAACCCTTGTACACTGTTGATAAGAATGCAAATTGGTGCAGTCATTATGGAAAACAGTACGGAGGTTCCTCAAAAAATTCAAAATAGAATCATCATATGATCCAGTCTGGGTATATTAATATTAATACACACCAAAAAGAAATGAAATTAGTACCTTGCAGAAATACCTGCACTCTTGTTTGTTGAAGCATTATTCACACCATAGCCAAGACACAGAAACACCTTACGTGTCCAGCGACAGATAAATGGATAAAGAAATTGCGGACTATTTAGCCTTTAATAAGAAACTGTGCCATTTGTGACAACACGGAGGAGCCCAGAGCACACTGTGCTGAGTGAAATAAGCCAGAGAGACAAAGACAATTAAAGCAGGGTCTCACTTCTATGTACGTGTGTCTCAGTGGTAAAGAATTTGTCAGCAATGCAGGAGACAAAGGAGATGTGCGTGTGATCCCTGGGTTGGGAAGATCCCCCGATGAAGGAAATGGCAACCCACTCCAGTATTCTTGCTGGGAGAATTCCATGGACAGAGGAACCTAGTGGGCTACAGTCCACGGGGATGCAGAGTCAGACACGACGAAGCGCACATACACACACTTTGAAAAAGTCATAGAACCAGAGGCTAGAGCAGTGGTTACATGAGAAATGGGAGAAGTTGATCAAAGGGTACGGACGTCCAGTCACAAGACGAATAAATTCTAAGTCTCTAATGTGCAGCACGGTAAGTATAGTTAATAATATTTGAAAGCTGCTAAGAGAATAGGTTTTATGTTCTCACCCCCTCCCTCAAGACAGACAAAATGGTAACTATGTAAGGTGATGGATATAGTAACTTGATTGTGGTAATCACATTGTATACACGTATTAAATAATTGCATTATACACTTTTTAAAAGTCACACTGTACAATCTAAATATATATATATTCCTCTGTGTGTCATTAATCCTCAAAAAGCTGGGGGGAAAAAAAGAGTTCAGAGCGGCTGGAACAGGAAAGGACCAGGAATACGGTCAAAGGCAAGGCTGAAAGCCCAGGTGGGCTGACACCCGAGGTGGCTCTGAGAGGAGGGGCAGGGCTCTGGACGTCCCGCTGCAGGTCCTGAAAGCCTGGGCCGTGGACAGACCAGGGGGTAACCTGATGAGATTCGCAGTCACAGCTAATGATGAGATTAGGGTCTCAAGGCCCTCCTTCAGGGACCCCACCGTCAGATTTTCGGGACACTATTGGTAAAAACTTGCCTGCCAATCCAGGAGACATAAGAGACATGGGTTAGATTACTAAGTCGGGAAGATCCCCTGGAGGAGGAAATGGCAACCCACCCCAGTATTCTTGCCTGGAGAATCCCATGGACAGAGGAGCCTGGTGGGCTACAGTCCGCGGGGTCCCAGAGAGTCAGACATGACTGAAGGGACTTAGCATGTACGCACGTGCATTCTCTCCTGTTACGGTAGGAGACCAAAAAAGCCACTTAACCTCCTCTCCTCTAAGACAGGGAAAGTAAGTACTCTCCTCCCTTCTTGTATTTATGGCAGAAATAACTAATCAATAGACATTCTTTGGATTGGCAGCCATATAAAGCTTCAGAGGCTTTCTCAACACAATGTTTCAGGCAAGTACTACCCACAGGTTCAGGTTGGCACACAGGTTAAATTATGTGTCCTTTTTATAGAAGTATTAGTATTTTCATTTGGAAAAATAAGAACTGTCCTAGGGACGCAGAGTTTAATCAGAGGAATAAATCTCTAATGGTAGAATTTTAGTAAGCAGAAATTTGGAGAAGGGAAGGGAAGGGAAGTCTACGTGATTTCCTCAGATCAGACCTGCCTCACCCAGTCGGAACGTTGTCCTGAGTGGAGACTAAGGACACTTTTTTTGTTTTCTCACTTTCCTGCCTCCATTGTCAGCAAAATCGTTCCTGTTTGTTTTCCCGGCCATGGTAAACACCGCGGAGCAGACAGCTTTCCATGGCAAGCTCCTCCCACAGCATCTTTTTTTGTGTCCTCACAAAGCCCACGATCTGCAGGCAAAGAATAGACTCTCAATAAACATTTATTGACTGAATCTAAATTGCAATTTTGTCTACAGCCCTCTGGGAAGCCGAGCAGAAAGGAAATTCACCCTCATGTGGAGAGGCATGGACTACCCAGAAACCAACCGAGGACCGCCCAGACTCCGAGATGGTGTCTGTCAGAAGCCACACGTATCAGGACTCATGAGGCCCCTCGGTCAACTCCGGGATGCACACACTCTTTCCTTGGCTCCCTCTGTGTGAGCACCGAGAATAGTAACGGGTTTTTTTTTTCCTGCTCGGTGTCTTCTGACCTGGCCCAACACAGAGAACACTCTCAATGAAGACTTGTGAATGAATGAGACAGTTACTAGCACCTGGAGAGGAATGGGGAGTGGCGTTCCTACCCTCCCCAGGCCGCCAGGAGAGTGTGCGGCACCTGGAAGGGTAGCTGGGGCGGGAGGTCGGGGTGGGGTGGGCGGGGGGTTACATGATGAGTTCAGTTCTGAGCTTCGTGAACTTGGCTCGTGGGCTTTACTTGGGGAACTTGGGGTTTGTGGGGGCAGACGTTGGTATCCTGGGAGCGACAGGGGACCGCCAGGGGAGGGGACCCCAGGGGAAGAGCATCGGGAGAGCGGGGAGAAGCCCAGCTCTGGTTCTGGGGCAGGGGAGGAAGTGAAGCAGCCGCGGGGTGTCAGGGAAGGGACGTCGGAGGGGAGAAAGCCCCGGAGAGGAAAGCAGGGCCTCCAAGAGCGCCTTCCTCACAGGGCAGCAAGGAGAGACGCCCACCGGGCGTGGTGCCACGTGTGGACGGCGCGGCCTCGTCGCCTGGAGCCCCGTCCAGCCTGGAAGCCGTGTATGGCACAGTTAAAACTGCTCAATTCCTACAGAGACGGAGAACCAAAGACTTTCTCCCATCAGCCAACCTTTCTCGGGTTGCCCCCTGCCCCGCCCTGACCCCCTTCCCCTGGCCCTGGGTCTGAGCTTCGTGGTTTTACCAGAGTTTCTGGCGCCAATGCACTGCCCCCGCAGCTGGGCCCGCGTGTGCAGCCTCTGTTCATGTTTCCCTCCTCCCGAGAGATCAGGTCAGAGGCCCCGGATGTTCTCGAGGGTCCCCGGATGTTCTCGAGGGTCCCCGGATGTTCTGTAGGCCCCTGGATATTCTCTGCGCCCTGAGGCGGGAAGTGGATCTGGGCCCGGTTAACTCGCAGGTGGGGCTGCGGGCAGGGAAGGAGCCCGGGACTTCTCCACGTGGAGAATGGGGCTGAGGGCGCGGGAAGCAAGTGCGTGGTGGACCAGGAGGACCTGACTGTCTCCGTCCTTCGTGCTGGGAGAGGAAGTGGCCTGCTGTGTGGGGAGCCTGCTTCTCATGCCATCGGCATGGACGGGGAGCCCACTCGGGGCGGTTCTGTCCGCCGAGCCACTGGACCCTGTCACCGGGAAGGTGAGAGACGTCTCCTCACAGCCTCAGCTGCCTGGGCCAGACGGGTCACGGGTGAGGAGCTGCAGGGTGGCCGGGGACAGGCTTGCAGAGCACAGACTCCCAGTGGAGTCTGGAGACCAAACCAGAGGGAAACAGCAGGGATCCCGCGTGAGGGGCCAGGGTGTTTGTGCCCCGGCCTGGTGAGAGGCTGCCTCTTGTGGCGCGGAGAGACTGGTTCCCAGGCAGTTCTGGGAATTCGCGGCCGTTTTCCAGCAACTCTCCAACAACCGTGAGGCTTTGGCCTTTGGAAATCAGGCTGCGGTGCGTGGGGCCGAGGCAGGAGTTCAGGGGCGGCGGAAGGTCACAGAGAGCGGCCCCAGCGCATCGCAAGGGGTCCAGGCCGCTTGGGGTGGAGAGTGGGAGGTTCGGGTAGAAGGTTGGACGGGCCAGCCAAGGCCAGACCCTGGTGATGGTTGCAGGGCTTTGTCCTGCCTGCCTGGGGAGCTGTGGAGGGTGCCAAGGTAGCCTGTTTGAAAGCTCATTCCCCGCTACAGTGGGGAACGGACTGGTGGGAGAGCGGAGGGTTCGCAGTCAGCGGTAAAGAACCCGCCTGCAATGCAGGAGCCGTGAGAGATGTAGGTTCGATCCCTGCATTGGGAAGATCCTCTGGAGGAGGGCATGGCAACCCACTCCAGTATTCTTGCCTGGAGGATTCCCTGGACAGAGGAGCCTGGCGGACTATAGTCCATGCGGTCGCAGAGTTGGACACGACTGAACACCTTAGCATGCAGCATTGGGGGTGGGGGGCACTCTGTGGCTAGTTCCCACCCACCCCACCTGCTAGACTGTCGTCTCCAGTTCTGAGCCTGCTGTAACCTCTGACCGTGCTCCTTGTGGGTCTCACAGCAGCTCTGACATCCACCTGCAGACCCTGGGGGCTTTTCAGTTGTCTATAAAATTGTATCCATGCTTCTTTGCACAGTGACTTCCAGGCTCTTCCCACCTACAGAAGGGTCCATTGCCCCGCCCCCGAATCCTTGGGACTTGCCTTCGCCAGTAGAATTTGTCAGAAGTAAAAGGTGCGAATTCTAAATGTGGGCCCCTTGACGTTTTGCGCGCTCTCCTCTCTCTCTCTCTCTCTCCACCCGGCACTGTCCTGATGAAGACATCACTTACTGTATCTGTTAGCACTCGCTGCGTAACAAACCGTGCTCAGTCATGTCTGACTCTTTGCGATCCCATGGACTGTAGCCCACCAAGCTCCTCTGTCCTTGGGATTTCCCAGACAAGAATACCTGAGTGGCTTGCCATTTCCAGCTCCAGAGACTTCTCTAGAGAATCTTCCTGATCCAGGGATTGAACCCAGGTCTTCTGCATTGTAGGCAGATTCTTAACCATCTGAGCTACCAGGGGAGCCCTCAGTGCTAACCCTGGGCCAAACTGTTTTGCATGTTGTTGTTTAGTTGCTCAGTTGTGCCCAACTCTTTTGTGACCCCATGGACCTTAGCCCACCAGGCTCCTCTGTCCATAGGATTCTCCAGGCAAGAATACTGGAATGGGTTGCCATTTCCTCCTCCAGGGGATCTTCCCAACCCAGGGATCGAACCTGTGTTTCCTGTGTTGGCAGGTGGGTTCTTCACCACTGAGTCACTTGGAAAATGTAACAAATCACCCCCAAACTAAGCAGCACAAAAACACACCCATGTGTGAACTCATAGTTTCTGTGGATCGGGAGCCAAGGCTCAGCTTAGCTAGGTCCTCTGGCTTACGGCTGCACACAGGGTCAGGTGGAACCAGAGTCCTAGCGGGATTGACCAGGGACAGAATCCGCTGCCAGGCTCAGTTCCCTGTTACTGTAGAATTCAGTTCCTCTCGGACTGTTGGCTGGAGACAGGCCCCAGGCTCTTGTTGCATAATTTCACCATGGGGCAGTTTCATAGCCTGGCAGCTGGCTTTGTCAAAAAGAGAAAGAGACAGAGAGCATGTTTTCAGGATGTCAGTCAGACTTCTGTATCCTCATCTCAGAAGTGACATCCATCACGTTTGTTCTCATCTAGTCTCTAGAAGTGGGTCAGGGGTCAGGCCCACACTCACATGTGTTCAGTCCTGCCTCTTCTGTGACGCTTCCTCAGACCCTGCGGCATCGCGGACCTCCCCTTGTCTGACCCCACTGCCTTTGGTGGCTGGGCCAGCACTGGGCACTTCTCACTTCCCTCCAGGAACATCTGATCGTGTTTGTTTGGCCCCATCCGGTCTTGGTGGCTCCCTCCATTGCCTGCAGGATCTTCCTTACCCACCAATCCAGTCCCTCCTTCCCGTGAAAGATGCTGGAGCACAAGCTCTGGGCTTTGTTTCCAGCTCTGTGTCCCCCTGGAGAAGGCGATGGCACCCCACTCCAGTGTTCTTGCCTGGAGAATCCCATGGACAGAGGGGCCTGGTGGGCTGCCGTCTGTGGGGCTGCACAGAGTCGGACGTGACTGAAGTGCCTCATTAGCAGCAACAGCTGTTTCCCCTGGCTCACCCAGAATCATGCCTTCCATTTAGCACGAACATCAGGATTGACGAATGGCATAACTTTGAGTCCCCTCTGTGTATTACACAGGTGTGACCTTCTGTAAAAACTTTGAGGCCATAGTAAATATGCATATAGTGGTAGAAAACAAGCAGAATACTGTTACACCCTTCCGTTACTTTCCCCCAATGAAACCAACCTGTGTGACTCTGTTACAACATCCCAACAGGAAATTGTTGCCAGTTTCACATGCGTGTGTTTATGTGTGTATTCGGTTCCACGCAGTTTTATAACTGTGTGTATTGTGTGACCACTGTCAGCCACAGTCTACACAGTTCCACCAAAAGGACCTCTCATGGGAATACTCAGGCAATCCAGTGGTTAGGACCCCACGCTCTCACTTGAGAGGGCCTGGATTTAATCCCTGATCAGGGAACTAGGATCCCACAAGCCAAACATCTCAGCAGTTAAAAAAAAAAAATCCCTAGTGCTGCCTTTTTATAGCCAGAGCCACCTCTTCTGCCCGCTTCCCCTGGAAGCCCCTGGCAACCACTAATCTGTTCTCACCTCTAATTTTATCATTTCAAGAGAGTTATAAAAATGGAATCATACGCTATGTTATCTCTTGAGGTTTCGCTTTTAGCACTTAGCACAATTCTCTTGAGATCTGTCCAAGTTATTATATGTATCAATAGTTTGTTCATTTTTTCCTTTTATTACGGAGTTGTATTCCATGGTATAGACACATTGCCATTTGTTTAATCACCCACCCTTTGAAGGGCATTTGGGTTGTCTCCAATTTGGGGCTATTATGAATAAGCCGCTGTGACCATTCCTGTATAGATTTTAGTGTGAACATAAGTTTTAATTTCCCTGGGATAAGTGCCCAGGAGGACAATAGCTGGGTCGGATGACAAGTACGTGTTTAGTTTTATAAGAGTCTGCCGCACTCCTTTCTGGAGTGGTTGCACTGTTTTGCGTTCCCACCCGCTGTGTGATTCGTTTTCTCCACCTCCTCACCAGCACTTGATCTTATCACGGATTTTCATTTGAGCCATTGGATAGGCATGTAGTGACAGGTCATTGTGACTCTATAATTATGTTTCCTTATTGGCTAAGGCTGGTGAGCCTCTTTCCCCATTTCTTCTTTGCCTTCTGTGTGTCCTTAGTGGGGAAATGTTTGTTTATGCTTTTTGCCAGTTTTCTAATTGGAGTGCTTATTTACTGTGAATTTTGTGAGATCTTTTTTATATTCTAGACGTAAGTCCTTTGTCAGATATGTGGTTTGTAAATATTTTCCGCTTGTCCATAGCTTGTCTTTCCATCCTCTTAACAGGGTCTTTCATGGAGCAAAGTTTTTAATTTTGATGAGATCCAATTAATCAAATGTTCCTTCTATTAAATGTTCTTTCAAGAAACTCTTTGTCTAGTCCTATATTGTTAAGGCTTTCTCCTATTTTAATTCTAAGAATTGTATACAGATCACCTTGGATAGCATAGGTTTGAACTGCATGGGTCCACTTACAAGCAGATATTTTTCAATAGTAAAGACTACAGGATTGCACATCCTCAGTTGGTTCAGTCCTTGGGTGACAAAACTGGGGATATGGAGATAACTCCTGGATGAAGGGCTGTCTATCAGTAAATTATCATGTATTTTCAACTGGGTGGAGGGCTGGTGCCCCAACCCTACGTTGTTGAAAGTGTATGCTATGTCACTTCAGTGGTGTCCAATTCTTTGTGACCCCATGGACTGTAGTTCACCAGGCTCTTCTGTCCCTGGGATTTCCCAGGCAACAATACTGAAGTGGATTGCTATTTCCTTCTCTGGGGGATCTTCCCAATCCAGGGATAGAACCCGTGTCTCCTTCATTAGCAGGATATTTCTTTACCACTAAGCCACCAGGGAATCCCCTGCATTGTTTAATCGTTAACTGTAATTGTATTTTAAGTCCATGGCCCATTTTGAGTTCATTTTGTATAAAGTGTGAGGCTTAGATAGAGGTTCGCTTTGTGGTGGTGGTTATTTACAGGCGTCCAGTTGCTCTTGGAAACAGAAAGGGCAACCCACCCCACTGTTCTTGCCTGGAGAGTCCTATGGACAGAGGAACCTGGCAGGCTACAGCCCACGGGGTCACAAAGGAGTTAGACACGACTTAGCGACTGGACAGCAGCAGCGTTGCTCTGGCACTGTTTATTGAATGGACTGTCCTTCTTCCATTGAGTTGCTTTTCCTCTTTTTTCTAAAATCAGTTGAGTATTTGTGTGAGTCTGTTGCTGGTTCTCTATTTGAGTTCTCTGACCTATGTGTCTAACCCCTCTGGCAGAACTACATTGCTTTGGTCACTGTAACTGTATATTCATGCTTGCGTGCTCAGTCGTGTCCAACTCTCTGTGACCCCGTGGACCGTAGCCTGCCAGGCTCCTCTGTCCATGGGTTTCCCAGGCAGGAATACTGCAGTGGGTTGCCATTTCTATTCCAGGGGTAACTGTATAGTAAGCCTCAATATTAGAAAAATTTCTCCCAGTTTCATCTTTTTCAAGAATGTTTTTGCTGTTTGAAGTCCTGTGCTTTGCCCCAGAAACTTTAGAATAATCTTATCTGTAAAATAATCTCGCTGGGATTTTGATGGTACTTGTGTTAAACCTATGGATCAAATTGGGAAGAACTGACATCTTCACTGTATTGAATCTATGAACGTGGTATATTTCTCCATTTATGTAGGTCTTTTTCTACTTATTTTGTTAGTATTTTGTAACATTCAAGATACAGATGCTGTACATGTTTTGTTATATTTATACCTAAGTATTTATTTTCTTTGAAGCAACTGTCAATATTTTCAGTTTCACTTTTCACAGTTCATTGGTATTGTGTTGAAATGTGATCGATTTTTGTAAGTTGATCTTTCACCCTACAACATTGCTGAACTCTTTAGTAGTTCTTCAAGTTTTTTGGTAGACTCCTTAGAATTTTCTATATAGGCAATCAGGCCTTTTGTAAATGGTGACATTTTCATTTCTTCTCATCCAAGCTATATCTTTCATTTCCTTTTCTTGCCTTATATGTACTGGCTAGAACTTTTAGTACTATGTTGAATAAAGTGGTGAGAGAAGATGTCCTTCTTTTGTTTCCAGTCTTAGGGGGAAAACATTGAGTGTTTCCCCATTAAATACAATGTTAGCTGGAAGCTTTTGGTGCACTTTTCATCAAGGTGAGGAAGTTCCTGTAGTCCTAGTTTCCAGAGGGCTTTTGTCATGAGTGCATCTTGGATTTAGCCAAATGTAGTGGGGTTTTTCTGCATAAATTGTTAAGATCATATGATTTTTCTTCCTTAGCTTGTCAGTATGGGAGATTACATTGACTTTTGAATATTGAACCAGACTTGCATCCTAGAATAAAATTCCATTTTGTTATAGTGTAAACTTCTTTTTTACATATTATTGAAATCAATTTCCTAAAATTTTTGTTGATGGTTTTTTTGGGGGGCTAAATGAAACTTTTATTATTTTATTCATTTTCATAGTTTTACAGTATTAGTAAAAATAATGGCCATTATAAATAAGTGTAAAATGGAAGTTGATGAAAAAATAACCCCAAGTCTTTCTTGACTCCCACCCTCCCACCAAAAAACTAGCTAGTATATGGCAAATATCCTTTTCACACATTATCTTTAGGCATATATTCACTTTGTAGTGGTGGATGGTTTAGTCGCTAAGTCGTGTCTGACTCTTGTGATCCCACAGACTGTAGCCTGCCAGGCTCCTCTGTCCATGGGGTTTTCCAGACAAGATTATTGGAGTGGGTTGCCATTTCCTTCTCCTGTTGACGATTTTTTAATCTAAATACATGAGAGAGACTGGCTTGTATTTTTCTTTCTTTTACCTACCTTTATCTAGTTTTGGTGTCAGGGTAATATTCAGTTCAGTTCAGTCGCTCAGTCGTGTCCGACTCTTTGCGACCCCATGAATCACAGCATGCCCGGCCTCCCTGTCCATCATCAACTCCCGGAGTTTACTGAAACTCATGTCCATTGAGTCAGTAATGCCATCCAGCCACATTAGCCTCATAAAATAAGCTTCAAGTGTTACTTTCTCTTCTATTTTCTGGGAGAGATTGTGTAGAATTATTGATTTTTATAGGGATTCCACTATATAAACACAACTTTTTGCAGTCTGCTGGTATTGATGCTTTACCACTTGGATAAAATGTAAGCTTACTTTCACTTAGGTCTCTATTACTGCCTCATTAAAAAAAAATTATATATATATATATGTATACACACACATGTATATATAATATATGTATGCTTCAGTTATTAAATACAATTTAAGATACTCAAGAGAAGTATAGTCTGTTATATTTATCCCTATTTCTACACATTGCAAACTTCTTTTTTTTTCCTTTCTGAAGTACCAAGCTTTCTTGAAACAAATGAAAAAATAGAAATTCTCAGTAAAGAAACAGAAGTTCTATTTTAAAAAGCTTCTGTTTATACCACTTCTTTTACCTAATCTTTAAGGATATGTTTGCCAACAATAAATTCTCTTGGTTTGCTTTCATCTGAGAATCTCTCTCTTTTCCTTGGTTTCTGAAGGATAGTTTTTACCAAGTATAGAACTCGCAGTTGACAGCTCTTTCTATAGCACTTGAAAATGTTGAAAAGCTTTCTGCTTCCATAGTTTGAGATGAGAAATCTGCTATCATTCAAATTGATGTCCCATGTAAGTAATGTGTTGTTTCTCAATGTTTTTAATATTTTTTCTTTGTCTTAATTTGCAGATGTGTAATTTTCTGTGTATTTCTTTACACTTATCCTATTTGAGATTAGTCAGCCTTTTGAATTTATAGTTTATTGTGTTTCTCCAAATTGGGGGAGTTTTCAGCCATTATTTCTTTGGATACTTTTTCAGTCCCACTTTTTCTTCTTTTGGGACTCAGAAGCTATGAATATTTATCCTTTTTCACTGTCTCAAAGTCCCTGAGAATCTTTTCTTTTTCAACTTATTTTATGTTTGTATTAAGACTAGGAAATTTTATTGCTCTAACCTCAAGTTTGCTGCTTCTATCCTTTGTCATCTCCACTCTTGTATTGAGTCCATTCTGTGAGGTTTTTTTCCTGGTTATTGTATTTTTCAGTTTTTAAATTTCCATTTGGCTTTAAAAAAAAAACTTCTATTTCTCTACTGAGAATTTCTATTTTATTTGTTTCAAAAGAATTTGTAATTGCTTGTTGAGCATTTTTACGATGGCTGCTCTTTGATTCTCTACCCTTCCAACCTCCCATTCATTTCTGTGTGATGCCTGTTGGCTGTCTGTTTCTTCACCCAAGTTGTGATTTTCCTGGTTCATGCTTTAAGAAGAGCGACTTTTCCCTTCTGTCTTGGTTGTTGGGAGTATTCTGTTATGAGGCCCTGGATTCTATTCCATTTTTCTCTCGAGCAGGCAGTCTCCTCTTTGAGAGGTAGCACGAGGGTGGGCAGGCTGTGTGGCCAGCTCCCAGCCGAGCCGCCTGCACCATCCCGGCGGAAGTGACTGCTGACTCCTGCCGCCTCGTTGCGGCTGGGTCGGCAGCGGTTCGCTTTCCCCTGGGCCCTGCAGACACCTTCGCGGTGAAAGCGAGAACAGCTTGTGCCGTCCTCCTGCCTCTTAGCCTCGCTGCTAGGCCCCCCCGATACGGGGGTGGGAGAAGCGGGGACTCAAACCCCACGGCTGTGTTGTTGCAGGTAGGACACAGACAGAGACGCTTCTTAGGCTTCTTCGCTCTGTCACGTCCAGGGGTCTTCAGTTGTGAAGAGGAGAACCTGGGAGGCGTGAGCTTCATCTTGAGCTGCAAGTTCAGGTGTGACGTGACCTTCCTATTCTTTCTCTGCAAAATGACCATTAACACAATAATACTTACTCTGCCTGCCATCCGGAACTGTTCTGAGAATTAACTAAGATGTGCGTGTTTATGAAAGTACACTGGAGACTCTGATGGTATAGAGAACTTTATTATAACGATTTGTTATTTCTGAAGCTAGGGTCTGGTAAGATGTAGCTTGAGAAGAGGCAGGAAAAATAGTGGAGGCCGTCCATCTATCAGTTTTATGTTGGTGAAAGCAAACTTGACAGCCAGAAATCAGCCTTCTCTTGCCTAGTTCCCTGTTTCTTTTGAGTCTGTGGCAACCTTCTCTTGGCGATCAATAACCCAGGAGAAAGCGAGAGGAAGAATGAAGATTAGGGTCATGGCAAGGAGCGAGCAGTAAAGCAGCTTTAAAGAGCCTAATAAACCAGGATAATTGAATGTAGTAAGGTTCGTGGCTGGGACAAGGTGGTGTCTGCAAGCACCATTTCCAGGAAAACGCTCACAAGAGGGAAAGAAGTGCCGAAACGGGGAGGGAAGGAACAAGTCACAAAGGGGACCCTGGGTGGGCAGGGACAGGCGTTCAGGATGGTCACGCTTAGGGGCATGGGACAGGGCTGCCCCCTGGAGTGGCCCCAGTGTTATCAGCCAGGATGAGCTGGGTCTCGGGGGTTCTTGGTCCCTGCTCCAGGCAGACAGAGGGTTGTGGACTTCCAGGGTTTGAGTGTCAGCTCTGCCACCTGTGTCTGTGTGATTTGGGGTAAGTTCCTTAGTCCCTCTGAGCCTCAGTTTCTCCTTCCATCAGTTGAAGTCGGCAAAGGTGCCGACCCCAACAGGTTGTTGGAAGGTCAAAGGTGAGGGTGAGCATGAGTCATCCAACTTGCCCGTAGTGGAGAACCGACGTGTAAGGTAGTCCTCTTCCTGGCTCTGGGCCCAAGGATTGTGGCCTCAGTCTAGGCTAATAGTGGGGAAGGGAATGGCAAGCCACCCCAGTATTCTTGCCTGGGACAGAGGAGCCTGGCAGGCCACAGCCCACGGGTCACAAAGAGTCAGACACGACTTAGCGACTGAGCATTCACGCCAGGCTACAAAGGCAGGAGCCCCTGTTCAGTCATTCTGGCTCCTCCGCAGCCGCGACCCGCTGCGAGAGTGACGCCCCACCCCCAGCGGTTGTCCCCATTCCCTTCCTTCTTGGGACCGGCTTTCCTGGTGTGTGGGCATGGAGGTGTAATGGATCCACCTGAGGCTCTGAGGGAGGCTGGCAGGGTGCCTGCTTTCTTAGCGGTTTCTCTAGAGCTTTGCACCGCATGGGCCGTGGAACTGCAGACATGTAGCCTCTGGAGGCACATTCCGCCGGCCTGGCGCCTCCAGTGTGTTTCTTACATTTCTCTCTGGAACTAAGTTGTGCTGTAGATGGTGTTGCCCTCCACCACTGACTCAGCCAAGGGGCGCCTGGAGCCCTTTGGTTTTGGGGGGAAGATGAAGTCTCTGGAGTGTCCTGAAATTCCCACGTCAGTTCTCTCAACATTAAATAAACACATGGAGTAACTTTTGTTATTTTTATCCTTTGAGAACCAGTGTTTTGACTAATAACGGTAGATAACATATATTGAATAGCCTACCCGCACTGTGTGCCAGGCATATTTCATCTCATTTAATCTCCCAACAATCCGATGGAACAGAATCTCATAGTGTTCCATTTTAGAGATTTGGCACTTGAAGCTCAGAATTTAAGTTATTTGCCCATGGTTAAACAGGCAGCTGGGTGAGTCACTTCCCCAAGGGCCAGAAGCTCAAGTCCCAGAGCGGAGGCCGCATGCTTTGTCTGCTGAGGTCAGACAGTAGATGCTCTAGGCTCTGTGGGCCGGACAGGCCCTGAGCAGCGGCTCGTCTCTGCTGCTGAAGCATGAACACCATCACGGGCAGTCTGTAAACGTTTGAGCGTGGCGGCGTTCTAATGAGTCTTTATTTAGGGAAACAAGTGTTGGGCCAGATATCACTGTGTGCTGACCCCTGGCCTGAAAAGGCCGGTGGATCAAGTCAATGAGTAAAACAGGAGCAAAACAAACAGAAAAGCAATCCACCCTAACACGCACCCTAGTGTATCCTAGCTCCTCTGCTCCCCAGACGAGAGGGAGACCCAGGACGTAGCACAAGTACCTGTTCTGTGGTCGCCAGCGTCGGGAGGGGCGGTGCCCACGAGCCCCATCGGTGGGCAGTGGCCAGTACTTAGCCTCAGCCACTCGCCGACCCCCACCCGGACACATGCCGGTTTCCAAGCGAAGGCACAGGTCTGGATTTGAGGGGAGCATGTGTGTGTGTGTGTGTGTGTGTGTGTGTGAGACCTCTGTTTTCTAATATTGTAAATGAGTAAAACAAATCCCCAAGTCCTGTGCAAACCCAAGTAGAAGATGCCCAACCCCTGGCCGTGACCCACTGGCTGCCCGTCTAGGACCTGTGTGCTGTGAAAGCTTCCCCAGCAACACTGCATTTATTAAGTAATAATTCATCTGTTTTCCTATATATTTTATTTATCAAAGACCTCAGTAACTGTCAGGCAGAGTTTCTTATCAGCAGGAACTGACCAGCGGACAAGTGTTGCCTCCCAGGCCGGATGATCAATCCGGAGGAACCAGGGAGCCCTGACATTTTAATTATCCGGAGCACCGTTATCAGCGGCGCTCCCCATTGTTCGCCGGCCCCTAGCTGGGACTCTCTGATCTGGCCCCTCCCTGGCCGCTCCTCCCCGCGGCTCATCCTCACTGCCTCGGTCTGACTGCTGCCTGTATGTTATTCAACAGACCGCACCGCCAGCACCCTCAGAGTGAACCCTTCTCCTCCACATCCATGCACGGTGTAGCATCCTGAGCTGTTGAAACTAAGAAAAAAGGGTTTCTGTTTGCTGCAGCACCAGAAAAAATATAGAGGATTTGTTTTTTTTTTTCCAACATAGAACAAAGAATTACTCCAGGCCGAGCAAGGCGGTGGACAGATTTCCTCTTACTGGGGCTGGTGGTCAGACTGCAGAGTTTTGTAGGGGAGTCAGTACTGTGCAAAGTCACTTTAAGTTATTCTCCATGCATCATGTAAAATAGAAAAAAAAAATTAAATGATGTCCTGGGAAAGTGGAGAAATGAGCAAATAAAGCAGCTGAGGTTAGGTTCACATTTGTTTTTAAAGAAAAATTCATTTTAGTTCCTCAGAGGCCTGTTGGCTTTCTCGAAGCTTCCTTGAGGTGCGGGAGTGGAAACACCCGTTGCCGCTGGCCCCACCTGCGCTCCCTCTGAAGAGAATGCCCCCTGCTGCCCTGCTCACGTGACCTCACCTGGCTGGGCAGGTGGGGCCAGACATGGGGACTTGACCTCATGCAGCCAACGCAGAGGGTGACAGAAGTCGATGAAAGACCTGATGGGATTCCCCGTAGCAGGAAACGCAGAGGGAAGCTGGCGGCTGCCCTGGGCTCCAGGCTGCAAGGCCGGGGGGCATGTGGGCCGCCTGCTCACCAAGTTCTGGCTGACGTCCTGGGGTGGCTGAGACGGGAGGAGGCAGAGAGAGGACGGAGGAGCCCCGTGGAAAAGGCGGCGGTGTTCCAGGGGAGGAGAGGCGAGCAGGAGCCCACCTCCCAGAGGCACTGTGTAAACAGGGCTTCTCTGTGGAGACGGGGCTGCCGGTGGGGTCCTCTGTGTCTTAGAAATCCAGAAAGCCGCCAGGAGCAGAGAAAGGCTTCAGCCGTTTGGAAAACCACAACTCTTCAGAGATCCCATGCCAAGGTTTCTGTCTCTGTCCAATAAAGAACAAACCTAGATTTCTTAGGGCAAGACTTTATCTGGTGGTATCGTTGTGAGCAGGGAGGTGGGGCGTAGGGATCCTTGCAGTTTGGGGAACACTGACCACAGATCTGTTAGCATCGCAAGGTTTTTCTCTTACAGAAAAGAGTAAGTGGGATTTCCCTGGCCGTCCAGTGGCTGAGATTCTGTGCTTCGAATGCAGGGGGCCCAGGTTTGATCCCTGGTCAGGGAACTAGATCCCATGTGCCGCAGCTGAGTTCTCATACGGCAACTAAGACCCGGCACAGCTAAGTAAATAACTATTTTAAAACAGCAAGGCTGGGAAGAAGCCTTGTGGGGGGAATCATTCTAACGGGAGTGGGAGGAAGAGCGTGGCAGAAAATCAGAGAACATCTTCCCCTGATGCCAGCCTGTTCTCAGGAGGGGAGGTACCCGTCCGCAGGTTCTCCTGCCTCACCCACGTAAGGATGGCCAGAATTCAGGGACCGGCACGAAGGAGTGGAAGTGAACGCAAGTTCTGTTAACAGGGGTTTGTTCTGTGTGATCAGCTGGACAAGCAATCCAGCGAATCATCTGTGAAGCAAAAGATGGGGATTTGTGGGGAGAGGGTCTGAATCTGGCCTCGTGGTTGCATCTGCACCTTTGAGTCTCATCCAGGTCATCCTGGGGGAGGGTGTTTCTTTTCAGTGAGCTGTTTCCAGAACACGAGAGGGTGGGGGATTTCTTAACCCTGCTGTTTTTGCAGAGCACAGGGCTCAGGTAAAATTCAGCTTTGCCACCCCTGGAGGGGGCGGTCACCTAAAACACTTTCATGGTGTATGAGTAGTTTAGAATACTGTCGTCTTTGCCTAAAACCATTTGATGGTCCTCTGGGCCTACCCCTTCTAGAACCTTCCCTTCTACCCTGTCCCTGCCAATTGAGGTGGTCCATCAAATTCCGGAAGGGTTTGCAGTAGGAAGCAAGGGCTGAGCAGAGAGGCTGCCCTGGCGTTTGAGGAAGTCTCCTCCTGAAGCCTGCATATCCTTGACGCCATCTCAGGCCCCGTTGTCAGGAGGGGAACCTCGGCCTCTGCCCCTCTCCTAACCTCTTTCACCTTAATCCCCCACCAACTTTGTCCCCAGCAGCAGACGCTGACCCCCCATCCCCGCCACCAGGTTCTGTTGCAAAACCCCAACAACAGACTTGGAGAT